ATGGACATCCACTTTAATATATTTATAACATTTATCTCTATTCTAAGAAATTTATCTATTTAATTTAACAAATTTTACTTCAAAAAATTTAATTTAACAAATATTTATTAACTCCAAGATATTTAAATAAATCTAGAGTTTTCCTTGTTACTTATAAGAAGTTATTTGAAGAGAAAAGAGAAGAGAAATAGAAGTCAACGAAATAGTAAAATGACAAAGGAGAGAACATGACAACAACAACAACAATCCAATATAATCCCACTAGTGGGGTTTGGGGATAGTAGCGTGTACGCATACCTTATCCCTACCCTGGGATAGAGAGGCTATTTCCGATAGACCCTCGGCTCCCTCGCTCCAAGAACTCCCACCTTGCTCTTGGGGTAACTCGAACTCACAGTCTCTTGGTTGGAGCCGAGGGTAATAAATTTGAAGGATGATGTTTAATTTGAAACAAAGATGGTCTTGGCCTTCAGTTGCACACACTCCATTCAAGTACGGATTAAAAACAAATTGGAAACGCCCTTTCCCAAATTGGATTCGATCCTAGCACCTCTCTCACTTTGAACCCGCTCGACCACCTCCACTGGGAGCATATTTGTGTTAAAGCGGGTTCAAATATTTTTTTTACAATAGTAATTTTCCTCCGTTAAATGTAATATATCAATATACGCCGTATAATTTTTCGACGAAGCGGTTTCAACTGAACCCCATGTGGGTCCGCCCCTGCTCGTGATACTTTGTGAAATAAAAAAGTAGTAAAATGGGGGAAATTTATTAGTTTTAAAAAAACTTCCTAGTCTATGCTAAATTGCTAACTATATGATTAAACATGATTCACGACAAACTTTAATATTGAAAAACTCGTGCTACGCATCTTCTTGCTTAATGTGAACAAAGGCTTTCACGGCCACGTTATTTGTTAAGAATTCATGTGGAAGAAACTTTAAACTTTTATTCTTTGAGAAATATGTATTTTCACTCTCCCCACCTGTCTAAAATTTTTACACACATAATTTATTTGAATAAGTAATTTCAATAGATTGGACTCATCTGATTCAACATTTGTTTGCTGGCTAACTATTTCAATAAACAAGGTAATAAGCTAAAAAGAATTATAACAGACCAATTATAATTCAACAAGTAAATAAGTTGGTTATAATAATACTATCAATATGTGCCAAATAAGTTAAATTCACTCCTTATTTAGGTCACTGGTTGATAAAGTTAAAAAACATGGATATAAAATGGTCATATTAAAATAATAATGAGGATTGATTTCTTAGCTGCACTAAGCTGACTTTTGCCTTTATCTGTTCTTTCTTTCTCTCTCTCATTTTTTTTATATGTTAAATTCGTACCACCATTGTGCACGTTTTCTTGATGATTAGGGGCGTAATATTCCCAATGCAAAAAGATTATTAAACTTTTTTTATGTTTCTGTTATGATTAGTAAGCTAAGTTCTAATCTTTATATTTAACTGCTTGAAAATAACACAGCCTAGCCAGTTTTCGGATTGATAATCGAAAAATAACCGGCGTTTGCAAAGTCATTGAAAAATAATTACTATTTTAGCTTAAACACGGAAAGTTCCAGCATAATATGCTGGATTATGGAGCTCGTGCGTTTAAACTTCCAACATATTATGTTGGAACTCCAACACACATTATGAAATTTCAGCACATTATGCTGGAATGTCATATGTAAAAAATCCAACATATTATGTTGAAATTTTTCCGGATATTTAAGGATATTTTTATTCAGATTTTATCTTTATATGAAAAAGTAACTAAATTTCGATTACTTTTGAAATTATGATTATTTTTCAATTACCAATTATAAAACAGACTATTTCTGATTTTCCCCCTCACCTATTCATTGTGTCCTTTATGAATTGTGGCTGAGCTTTTGCCCTATAATCAGGTTCTGATAAATCATATAGAAGGAGAAGAAAGGGGATTTCTGGTGGCTTCACATCTGCGTCTAGCAAATCTTGAATGGGTCAAGCAAGAAACCAGTTCTTTTCCTAATAATATCTTTTTTCACGTAGTTAATTGGAGAACATGAAAGCCAAAACACATCGGCAAATTAATTTCCCTGTGCTATCATATTTTAAGCATATTGATAAACTTTATGACATCTTCACTAATATATGTGAGCAAATAATAATAGGCATTATCACCCAAGAGCATGACCTAGTAATTAATAAATTGGGTTTAAGATCATAAAATTTCATGTTCAAATTCTAGAAGAGACATCAACAATAGGTAATTGTTTTGTATTTGTCCAAGTTTTGGTGGACAACGTATCCCGGTACTTATGCTAGTAAAAAGTAATATGTATTTTGTGGAATTAATTAATGTACGCAAAAACTAATTCGGACAGCATGCGTATAAAAAAATTAGTCACTATGTCGATGCTTCAAAATTCAAATTATGACTTCTCAACCACTATATTACACCTTCTGAAGTCGGGTGCCTACTAACTAGAGAATACAGGTGCAAGTGAAAACAATTGCAGTACTGTCTTTTCTGCTAGCTAAGTTGAAGTGTTGGACAAGTTATTAAAAATTCTGTGGAAAATTAGGGAGAAAGGAAATCTAAGTAGGCGTTTGGACATAAAAGTTGTAATTTTTGAAAAAAGAGAGTAGTATTTAGAGTTAAACTGAAAAATAATATTTAAAATCTAGAATTATGTTTGAACTTGCATTTCACTTGAAAAAATGTTGTAGTTTTGTGAGTGGGGAAAAAAAAATTTCTAAAATTTTTAAAAAATGGTCAAAAGCACTTTTTTGTTTTTGAAACTCATTTTCGAAAATTTTCCAAAAACTTGCAAAATTTCATGGACAAACACTTCTTTGAAGAAAAAAATTTTAAAAAAAGGAAAATAAATTATGGACAAATGGGGCCGAAGTCTAATAGGAAATGGAAAACTGTCCCTTTCTCACGGATTTGCCATGACCATTTTATGCAATTAACAATTCGTAATTGTCCGGTATAAGCATTTTCCTTCCGTATTGCTGCATGCAACTAATGACATTGAAATTTAAATATTCCTAAATAAAGATGCTGTTAGCTGATGCAGCAAATGTAGTACATTACTTACAATTACATCAGGTCACCCATTAAAAAGGAATTAGAGCCTTTTGGATTCCGTTTGGCATTTTCTAATTTTTATACGCTATCAGTTTGGAATTAGAGCTTTTTGGTACTGTCCCTTCTTGTCTATATTTTCATTAATGTGGTACTTATGCTTTTCTGAGCCGAGAGTCTATTGGAAACAACATCTCTATCCTCACAAGATAAGGTCTGCGTACATATTACTTTCCCCAGACTCCACAGTGTGGGGTATTACTAGGTATGTTGTTGTTGTATCAGTTTGGATTTTGGAAAGTCAATTTTGGCAAGTTAGTCTAGCTTTTTGAAGAACTAATTAACATAGTTAATCAAACTCCAAGAGAGCTAACGGGCACAAGGATCTTGATGCTATCCTAGTGTGAAGAATCTTAGAGGTGACTCTAATGACCAAATGTTTTATCACGGGTCTAAACAACAAGAATATACTCAATTATGAGAGGAATTAATCATCCAACAAATAGGCTAGCTCAAAAGTTTTCAAAAGGAAGGCAAGAAGTAAGTTGAAAAGAGTAACGGATAGAATCTTATTTATTTATTTTTCCAGCGATAATATCTGGGCCAACTTACACGCACCTTGATTATTCTATCGGACCACCCACGCTCCACCCACATAGCTACCACGTAACTCTGCCTATCAAGACTTACACAGATAGGAAGATATCACCCCACATATTTTGTCACTGATGAAATTCGAACCCTAATCTCCAAGATTTCATCCCATTTCATTAATCACTAAGCTACACGCTTGGGTGCTAATAGGCTGATTTTCACTTGAACTGCAAGAATAATTGACTAAACCAATTTGATTCCACCTTGTTCAAAAATTACATCGATAGTTAAATCATGATATTATAAATAATTGAGGAACTTATGGTTTGGTTAAGCATGGGTTTCTTATTTCAAAGGATTAAATAGAGACAAAGACATGCCTACATATTTTTTTTTTTAAAAAAGAAGCAATTTGAACTCGCAAAATGGCAAAGCTAAGAACGCCTTTTGATAGACTGCTAGAAGCTGAAATAAAAGTTCGACTACAAAAAGTTCATTGTTAAGAATAGGACACAAAATATCAGCTTGTTCTCACGCGTTAAACGAGCCAATAGGACTAAATAGTTAATTGTTTTAAGTATATTTTGAGAAAGATTCTTTAGAAGCCAAGAACCACAATGAATAAGAGCTGGAGTGTTCGACAAATTATGTCAATGGACACAAATAGGATTGGCCGACATAGTAAAAGGGGACCACAGTAAGATTCGCCAGAGTTCTCTCATTTGTTTGTCTATATTCCCCACACAGCTGCTCATTCAGTACATTTTTTTGTATGCTTATTCTATTATTCCTTGTAGTAATTGACATTTCACTGTTGACCTCCACTTTTTGAGAAGGAAAACGAACAAAAAGCAAGAAACTTAAGTATATCCATAGATACTATAGTATTCTATAAGGAGTCAGGAACAAGAATTTCAAGCAAAGACAAAAAGGGTTTTGAGAACTGAAAGAGTAAACTTATCGTTTGAAATGCTGCAGAATCAAATGGAAAGGCTACTAACAATTTTAGTATACGGAAAGAGGCCCTTATTAGGAAGCGCCAACCCTCCAAAATGGATAACATTCCTACCTAATATCATATACGGTTTTAGAAATTAAACTTGATGGATTCAACCTATTCTCTGAAGAGTTCGTACTTCTGAAATTATGAGTTTATAATTTAATATTTGTTTGAATTTATGTTCCGTTCCGAAATACTTTCTTCGGTTGAACCCTTAGAATATAGGTTGCATTCGCATAACATGGTGTGAGGTGTTACGTTTTAATGTAAATGAAAACTAACAAGGTCTTGCAGTGATGCTGTTTAGAGGGTGCTATCAGCGAATACTAAATACCTAATGAGACGTTTGTTTACATAGTAAGTGAAACTAAGGATAGCAAAATACCAGAACTACACTATTTTTCTACTTGCAATCTCAAAAAACAATGTATTACTATAGGCCCTGATACATACCTTAGTCTGTTGAATGCTTCCAGAAAGGGTGATTTACACATAGTAGATCACTGTCACACTAGTGTAAGAAACACCCAGAAATGAAAGATGTTTTCTTGGCGGAATTCCATTCTGTTGGAAGAAAAAGGAAATCTAGTTGGTTTTGAAATCAATTTATTTACATGGCTGAATCTAAAACACAACATAACAGGGCCAAACGATGGATGATCACGGAAAAAGAACATACCTTTAATGGAATAGGAGGCAACACTATGATTATTTAATATGAGTATAGGACCCGTCAAAACTATATGTGAATCTTCAGCTCAATGTCCATTCATCAGAATGATCAGGAGAAATTTCTTCAACAGATGTAACCCAGCTTGAATTTTCAAGTAATAGAGATCCACCACTTGCTTTGTCACAAGATACTTCAGAGTTGCGAGAGTACCAGATATGAGAGTTGAATGACTGTTCAAATGATTGAGGAGCAGTTTCTCTTGGGTTTAAACCATACAAGTTGTATTTGATCTCCTCATTTGTTAGACCAACTGTATCTTTTCTGTGAGGTAGTCTTAAAGTATGATAAGCAGATAAACCCCTCTGCAACGGGGAACTGGTTGCTGACAGGAAATTCCAGCTGAATGTATCCAAGGCAATTGGCAAGAGTTCATCAGAATCACAATGATTCTTCTCAAGATGACCAAGATAAGGGACAATAACATTGCCACTTTCAAATGCATTCTCAGGATTACAATCTTCCAGAGAAGTGAGATCCTCTGAGTAACATAACAAGGGTTGGTCACAGTGGTCCAATCTTGCAACTCCACATTCCTCATGTTCAAGAATTGTTCCAAAATCAGGATTATGATCTTCCAGAGAATTAAAATCTTCTGAGTTGCATAACAAGGGTAGGTCAAACTGGTCCAATCTTGCAACTGCACACTCCTCGTGTTCAAGAATCGTTCCAAAATCCCTGGAGCAAAATTTGGTAGGAAAGAGTTTCTGCTGAAAACTGTTTGAATGAAAATATGGCAGTGCATCAAAGTATGCAGAGTTTGTATATAAAGATGACAGTGCCAGCACATCAAGCTTCTTTTCTGTACTCCGCTGGTAATCAACATGCGGTAAGGTGGATATTGGTGAACACAGTTTATTCCCTCCGCTAGTAGTTATGGCTAATGCGGGATCATTTTTCTCCTCATTGAAATCCCAATCTAAGAATAAGTTTTGTGCTTCTCTGCTTACAGGTATATTTGCACTATGAAGTCTATCCAGTAGGAGATGATTTGCAAACCCATGCTGGTCAAAGGATAATGAAGGCAATGAATCACTCTGATCCCACAAACTTATACTTTTGTTGTTTGAAATTTGACTATTATCTACATCTTCACAGAGCAAACCAGTTTCTGCGTCATAGTCGATGAGATGAAAGGCAGAATTGAAGTTATCCCATTCTAGGGGAACTCTCTCCTTTGGCCTACAAAAGAAATTAGTGAGGCAGCCATCAGTCTGGCTCATCCTATATTCTGGTACTGTAACATCTTCTTTGTGTTTTGAATGAGGTCGCGCATGATCTGGCTTAGCATGTACAAGTGAGGTAGTACTTGAATTTTCCCCTTTCCTGACCTTTGAATCCCAGAAACCCTGAATTTCCAAGTAACATAAAGTCAGAAAAAAGAAAAGAAATTTGACTTATACAGTTGCTGAGAAAGCTAAGAGATCATACTTCACCCTCCTTCCTTCCAGGGAACAGCCGGCTGAGAAGTGCAGAAACCAAATCAAACCTGGAACCATAAGTCAATTTGAGATAGAACTTATCAAGATATCAAAGCAACTGAAAATATTAATCTTGATGACCTTTCAGAATTGAGTTTTTTGACATCAAGAAACAGTGCATTTGCCTGCTGACGTAGTTTCTGTCTCTTTGCAGCAAAAAATCCATTACCAGAGTACTGGCTCCCTAAGAGTGATAAGGAAGATGTAAATGTTCTGAACAAATGTTTACGTCTAAGTCTAATCACACGCCCTGTAAACTGCTAGAGCAAGTTCCATAATCAGTTGGCTGAGGTTAATGTAATCAGTTAACTAAGACAACAACAGAACACAGACGAAACAAGATATAGATAAGATTTCCCCACTTCAAAAAACCAATGGAGCACATATTCAAACAGACAAGGTTTTCATTCTTGTTTCATCATGACTAGAAAAGGCCTCCTGGAGTCTTGCTAGTGTGGAAAAAACTATGGCCATTAGACTGCTAATATAAGGAAACACTTGGTAGATTGAACTTAATCTAGCTCAAACGACTTAAGGATTATGCTGGAACTTTTATTAGACATTAGCGCCAGGAGGTTTCTCCAAGCATAGAGCACCAACCCCTTCCTGAACTCTTAGCAAGAAAATGAAAATGAATTGAGGAGAAAGCCTGTAATGCTGATTCAACAGTGTACAAATTGCGGTGCTTCTGCATCAACTATTGTACTGAATGTATGACATTGATATTTACCTCTGTTTAAACACTAAAATAACTTCATAGTAAGGAGAATTCAGATTGAAAAACAGCAAGCTTGTTTCTTAGTGTGAAGGGTCCAGTAATAACATTTCCTAGAGCTTTTTTTTTCTTCTTCTTTTCCTTGGATAAAGATAATGCTCACTAATAAGGCAGTCATTCTAGCTCTTCCCATATCCATCTCACAAGTCGATATTTATCCATCGAAAGAGAGAGGGTGAGGGATGATAGCGTAACTATGCAAAGAGAATCCTAAGTGAAGAATCAATGTTTCAGAGAGAATTGAATGGCTGATGGAAGATAAACTGAATTATTTGATGGACCTGCAAGGGGTGACAGCCGCAAATTTGAATCTACAGGAGTCACTGCAGTTGGGAGTGAAAAGGACTTAAGTTTTGCCTCCTTGGATATACCTGCATTTTGTCATACCACGTAGGTCGTTGAAATTAACAATTGACCGAACAGAGTCAAGATGCTTATATTACTTGTACACATTATACTCTGCTTCCTACCTATGACACCATCAACAGGTGAAAAGGACTGGCGTTCATTAGTCTGATATTCCTTTTCTACTTGAATTGGGATTTTAAGGTCCTTATTTGGACACTTCAGCACGTTGTGTGTGCTCGTTGTGTCTGCATATTAGGCATGATTAGTTAAATCCTTCAAATAAAAGGTGGTTTCTGAATAAAATAAAGCAAGCTGAATTTTCTTAAAGCTTTTGAGGAACCAGAAAGTTTAGTAGCTAGAATCAAAGTGCAACCCACCTGAGGTACTATTCTTTGATAGTTTACTCCTTCTGTGGAGAAGATCCGAATTACTATGGCCAACATCCTTTTTCAACTTCTTGAAGAAAGCATATTCTGAAGTTTTGGGCATATCAGCTGCACTAACAATACTATCACTTTTTAAAGAATTTAGAGGTATATATTTTATACAGTTAACATCTTCTGAAATCATATAATGATTGGGACATAAGTAATAAAAAAGGTAATTCAAAATAAAGAAAAACCTTACATCTAGGGTTGCGAGCTGTCTGATATTTTTTGGAAAATGCAACTCTTCCAACATTAGGAAGAGGATCTGCTTCCGTATCTGGGGATGTGACATTTTTTGCCTTGATTGCATCTAACAGTGAAAAATTACTACAAACTTTATGTATAGCAGGGGGACAAAGGGAGAACACAGGTCTAATATCAAGCACAAAATCGTTAACGCAAGAATAAATGAGATAGAGGAAAGATGGCCAACGAATCAAATCAAAATACAAAAAATGAATGAAGACATACAATATCTTAGATAAAGATATTGAATTAATGATACATCCATGGTGAGTCCAACTCTCTCCACTTAGTCCAAAAGCAAAACGCATATGAAGCAGGTCATCAGTAGTAGTGTTTGCTGACTGCTGATACTTGCCAGCATCTGAAATGATTCGGGTTCATACCATCTTTATTGCTAGTAAAATGCCACTGACATGAAAGACATCAACATAAAAATGGCAAACAAGAGACTTCAATAATAAGGGGGAGCGCTTAAATATAACACCTGACACTTCCTTTGCTTGCATTAAGACTTCGATTATTTAAGGTTAAAGCAGAGAAATTTTATTGTAATCACCTCCAAATCCATTCTATTCAATGATCATCTGGTTTGGCAGCGGAAATAAGCTATTTTGTTAGGAAGCTTTTAAATGAAATGAGCATCAAGACACATTTGTATTGCTATATTAAGTAAGATACCGAAGCTTAAATAGAGCGACATGGACCCTAACTCGCTTGGAACTGAATCCTAGTTGTTGTTGCTGTACGAAATAGGATACCAAAACAAACAAATGACGGAAAAATAAAATGAAATCCAACAAATGGCTGAAGCTATACATATGACATACAGATACCAATATGCCATTGTTGAACAACCACTATGACCCATTAATCCAAAACAAAAACACACGATCTTGAAGAAGGTGACAATGGGTGCTGATATGCGCCAAGGATCTCAAACCATTCATTCATAGCATCTTGATGGGTTTCCCTTAACATGTGGCTGATGGTAAGAAGCCTATCAAAGGAAAAAGGTAGAATCTATGACCTCCTTCAATCATGGTGGGACTATGATGGTTTGAGGTAGCCTTGAGTTAGAACAACAAATATGTCTCAATCCCAAACAAGTTGAGGTCGGCTGTATGAATCCTCACTGACCACATTACTCCATTTAAACTCATATCATGCTAATATTTGGCAAATACAAATAAAAAGTATTAGAATTTCTTTATATTTTCTAAACATATAAATCTTTAAAAGAATAAACCAATCTTAGAAAGCAAGGACCTAGCGTAAAAGTACTAACTTCTAATTCCGAGAAGTTACGAAATCCACAAAAACCCACCTCTCGTTAGTCAACTTCATTTCCTGGTGGCTACTCTTAGGGACCTTTTTCACATAATGCTCTGGCCCAAAAGAACTTAATTTGTTATCATTGTTACAATTCATGCACAAAGATAGATTCAGGATTTCAGGCCAGTGAATGCAGAATACTAGAGGATTACTTCCCTTTTTCTGTTAATATATAGGTTCGGAATTACTATAAATATATTAAACAAAAATTCTAAATAATATTTCTAGGTTTCGAATCAAGGCGACAGGTGCAGCTCCAGCCACTGCCTTCTATATACATCCACCGATGTTCCTGATGATACACAGACCATTTTACAATGAATCACACCAATATTTGATAATGTGGAGCAGCAAATGTAATCCAGTAGCTGAAATAAAATATCGAGCAACCAATAATAATATAAATTTCGACTAGACTCAGAAAAAAACTGCAAATTCAAGTGACAATCAGTACCGGATCTTGCATCGTCGAGGCCCTGAGGTTGAGTGACGACTCCAGCTGAAGAGCTTAGGGTTTTTGGTGGATGTTTAATAGCGGATTTGAATCTTCGCCTCATTACGTTTTGGTGATTTTCCTGAAAGTTGAATTTTGGAAAACCTAAGTGCAGTGATCAATGAAGCTTTTCAAATTTGAACCCTCGATTTATAAGACGAAGAGAATGAATTTAGGCGCGAAGGCGGTTCAACTTGTGCGGTTGGGCTTGCTGGAATTGCGCAGATAGCCACTTCGAGGATCCCTGTTTAAGGTTGAATTACACAAATAACCCGCAATACTTGTTAAACTTGAACTTCTATCTATAAAGTAATTGAGGATCAAAAGTTAAAAATATTTGCCTGTATAAGACTATAAGGCATAGTTGAAGTTCATAAATTTTTGTAAATCTAGCCATTTCAAAATCTAAGCCCTCGAAACTTTTTAACCATGAGTCTGAAGTTTGGTTTGAAGTCTAAAACCTTTTCGTCTTCAAGATTTACTTTTTGTCTTTTTTTTTTTGTCTGTTTCAATTTTTGCCTAAAGTTTTTTGTGTGAAGTTTCACTCAAATATCTGTAATTTTTGTTTGATATTTCACTCAAATATCTGAAGTTGGCTGCAACTCCTTCTTCATTCTTCAGCTACAGATTTTGATCTTACCCTCCTCAAATTAGCCTCGACGCCTTTCAAAATAAAATCTTATCTGCATTCGGTGCGTACACCAAACCACACCAAACAATGAATAGACGATAGGGATTTTTACACAAATAGTCGGCCGTATTTACTATTTACTTTTCCTAGCCGGTATACATAAATTATTAATTATACACGATTTATAGTTTTATACATTATCTTATACATATAGTTTTCTCCCGACGACTATTTTTAATTTAAACGGTTGGGCGACGGCTATTTAGGTTAATTCTTTTATAAGATATGTCTCTTGTATATATATTTTTTGACACTTAACTTGGTTAAATTATTTTCACTTTGATTTGTTGATTTTTTTAGATTAATTATTTATTTAGGTGTAAACACCTAGTGTGAATAAGTATTTGCCGGCTTTTGAATTTCAGATTTTGTTCCACCCAATTAGTTCAAGTTTTAGCAATAGTCAATTAATATTATTCAACAGATTTATTTAACTTTCCACATCAAGCAATGATGGCTTCATATCCATTTTGGAAGGTGCTAAGGCTCACATGAATTCAACGAAGAGTTCTCTCTCAACCTACGAAATTCTCATCTGAAGAAGGTTCATGCCCAGAAATAATGTCCCAAATCCCCTATCGGATGTACACCCCATGGAGATACTCTCTCTTATTATAAAATTGATAAGGAAAAGAATCATGCACCACGACTTGAAAGAAAAACTCTCCCAACTATGGAAGCCCGCAGAACCTTTTTCACTAATCGATCTGGGTCATGACTATTTTATCATAAAATTTACTAAAGAAGAAAATATGATGAAAGCTCTACAAAATAGACCATGGTTCATCAATGGCTACTTCTTGTCTGTTCGTCAATGGGAGCCGAACTTTGTGGCGGAAAAGGCAAAACAAGTGCACACAATAATATGGGTGTGCCTACCTCAACTATCTACGGAATTCTATGATGGTATAATACTACAGAACATTGGAAATTCCATAGGAAAATTGCTCAAGATTGATGCATGCACCAGCGCTACCCTTTGTGGCAGATATGTGAGGCTATGTATCGAACTTCCTATGGACAAACCAGTTCAACCATGCATCTTAATAGGCTCACACCTACAACAATTAACATATGAAGGGATCAATTTCCTCTGTAAAAAAGTGTGGTCACTTGGGACACACAGATCTATGCTGCCACCAAGGCCAAAACTCATCACAGACGACACAAGAACACATCAAGGACTCATGTCGCCTTCAACCCTCATCAGAGAATCAGTGGAAAATGGTGAACTTCTATAGAAGAAGAAATCAAGGGAGGAAAAAATCAAAGGAAAATCAAACTAATCATCCTGCAATCATAAATCAAAAACTAGGTAACAGTATTGCAGTAAAAATATATGAAGCGGCCTCATGTAAATATCTTAACACTCAAAATCTTTATTACAAGGAAAAAAAATTATGACTCTCCCACTCCCCTAGAAAACGTTCCAACAAATGCAACTTCTACCATAAATTCGATCATTACTCCCATAAATAATACTCAGACCCCAAAAAAGATGGAAGAAACTTCTTATATCCCCATGCATAATAAATTCTCCAATTTAATGGACTATGAATCCAACTTTCACGATTCTGACTCCCAAACGGTTGATTCCAGGGACAAACATTCCCTCTCTCCAACGCCTTCGATAACTCCAAAGCTGCTCCACTCCCCAACAAAACTAGCCACTAGAAATATAACACGTGGCAATCCTTTAGCATGCACTAATACAAACCCTAATCTACTATACCACTCAATGAGAGCTAATCACGAGCCTAACACCTACCCTAAAGAAATTTAAAAACCACCAGTCGCTTCCAATTCAGCCAAACAACTGGCAAAATCCACTGGCCATGTGTCAATGTTGCCCGACTTCCCAATCACAGTAAGTCAACCTCTCCAAGGCTCCTCTATCCTCATGCATGAGAAATCTCTTTGCAAAGATTTACAACTATTTGATACTTCTGAACACTCAACAAATGTGCATATATCTCCCCATATTGTAAACCTCTTCCTACTAACCACTCTGATGGCAAATCTTCACCCTTTCCCCCTGCAAATCCCATTCCACCCTCCTACTTTTGTATCTCCTCCCCTCCCTCCCAACCAGGATCCTCTAACCTGGATAAAATAGAGGCTACAGGGACATGCAACCTCCTTTCTAATGATCATCAATGGACAGGAGGTTTGGATAGTCCTTCAAAACTGCGCTTTCTTGCACAATGATAAGTGGAGATTTTTACTGCTTATTAGCGTCTTTTAGCTTTAGTTTTAGTCTAAAAGCATTGAAATGTGTTCCCGAAACTAATGAAATTATGCAAAAATTGCAGGAATGCTGAAAGTTGGTCTCCCGAGATGAAATCCGACTAAAAAATGAGTAGTCTGAAGCACAAGGCAATAAAGGGCGCAGAAGCACGCAGAACAAATTGCGGACCGCAGAATTCCATCTGCACCCGCAAACAAAGAGGAAAAAATCTAGCAGACATTTGCGCAAAGTGCGAACCGCACATGAATTGTGCGGCCGCAAAGCTAGGCTAAGAGTCGAAGATCACAGAGTATGCAAAAAGACCAAGTCCATGAGCTTTTGTGAATTGCGGGTCGCACAAGATTTGTACTGCCGCAGAAGAGTGCCTTGAGCCCGCAGTCCTAATTGTACAGACCGCAGAAGTGTTGCCTTGCGGCCGCATTCTACAAATATGCGGCCACAGAAGAATGCCTCATGGCCGCAGTTCAGAAATGTACTGCCGCAGAACTCCAGTTCGAAGAAATCTGCGGACCGCACAGGGAATTGTGCGGCCACAAGACCTCCCGAGGGGCATTTTTATCCGAGATTTTCAGCTTTGTATAAATAGACGAGTTTCACAAAATTAGGTCAAGTTTGAACATAGAAAGTTGTAGCCATTTCTCTTTGCTATTTTAGGAAGTTTTAGCTTATTTGAGTATTTTAACATTAGATTTCATCATTTTAATCTTCCATTATGAGTTTAATTAGCTTTTCATCTTTATTTTCTTCAAATCTCAAATGAGTAGCGAGATTTTTACTAGGGTTGTTGATCTCGTCCAATTTCACTCCCCTCTTTGAGGTTATGAAAACGGTCGATGCAATAGTAATACTCAATAAGAGTCGGGGTCAAATTCCATAGGGAGCTATATGAATGGGTGTTAGTAGTATATATCTTAGCGCGTGAGTTTGTATATCTAAATTTGTACTTCTACAATATTTGGTTTTGTTTGAAAAAATCTAAATTAAACTATTATTGCGATTCAAAGAATGAAACTAGAAAATTATTTTTGTTGTTTTTCAAATGATATAAAAGGCCTAGGGCTATGACCTTCACCTAGGTGTTTTCCTAATGGGTTGTAAACTTTAAAGCTTGTTTTATTGATCGGGGTGTATTATAGCTATCAACACTCAAATACACACTCAATACCCACTCAATACCTCTCGGCCAGAGAGTGATTTTGTCCAATTTGGTTTTCTCAAGTCCAAATGGGTATTGAACAAAATAGTTGATAAGAAGCTCAAGTTGAGTTTTACTATCTCTAGGTTCAACCCTTTAATTGGGCTTATCAATCTCTCGATTGACCCAATTCTTGCTAGCCAAGTTTTCCTAGACTAAGTCTCTCTTTATCAAGTAGAGACTAAGTCAAATAGGCATGAATTAATGTTTGCAATCATTAATTCTTCAAATAAAAACAAGAATAAGGCTAGATAATAAACACCCAACCATAAACAAGCAATAAATCAAACACCCATTAAGTTTATACACTAGGGTTGAGTCATAACTCTAGTGAAAATTTAGCTACTCACGCTTAAACTAGAAGAAATAGGAGAAGAAGTGATAATTAAACCCATATTGATAATTAAAATGAAAAATCAATATTTAAAAAGCTCAAAATAGCAAACACTACTAAAAAGAGTAAAAGAAACCGTCTACTACAACAACTGATGTCAAAAGTTAACCTAAAAAAGTGAAACTCTTCTATTTATACAAAGTTAAAAAATTTCGGACAAAAATACCCTTTCAGAGGCTCTGCTGCCGCACAATTCCATGCGCGGTCCGCACTTTTCTTCAGCTTGACGGAAGTGGAAATCTGCGGTCGCATAATTCTGATCTGCGGCCGCCAATTCTGAGCACAATGCTCTTATGTGGGCTTCTTCACAACCTGCGGTCACAGATGATATTTTGCGGTACGCACTTCTGAGCTTTTGTGCCTGTTTTTATCCTTAAGTTCATATTACTCCTTCTTGAGTTAGATTTCATCTTGAGAGCTCATCTTCCAATATTGCTGCAATTAAGCACATTTCATCAGCTTTCAGGAACACAATTAACCACTTTTGGACTAAAACGAAAGCTAAAAGGCGTTAATAAATAGTCA